TTTTACCCCTATATAAAAGATAATATATTATATAAAAATACAAAAATTATCAGCAATTAAATTAAAATCTTTTGCAAGTCCCAAAAAAAATTTTTTTTTTTTTTTTTTTTTTTGTATATCGTAAACGATGAGTCGTCTGTAGGATCAATACGTTGAAAATAAAGTGAAACGTTTGATACCGCGATGCGATCGAATGGTGCGATTCGATCGATCGAATGAACGAACATGCCATTTTCGATAATAGTTTCCTCGAAAGATGTAAGTACTTTCTCTCTGATTGCTCCACACCGGACAAATTAATCAGAGGAAATTACGGAATTACCGATCCCGAACGATCTCCATTTTCGATATACTCGTTCCAATAACATTAAAGAAAACGGCAACGAATTATCGCTGAATGATAATAATCTAGATCGCAATATACGTAAGGGTTAAAAGACCAATGTATTATTATCCTGGTGTAATCGTTTATTAAAACATTTCCAAATTTGTTAAAATGATCTTTAATCTTGAATGAAAATTACATCATTTAGTGATCTGATCAGTTGTATAATATTTTAAAGAAATATTTGACAATTTTGTAAACGTATGAATAAGTATTTATAATCGTATATATAATATTGAAAGAAAAAACATTAAATAAATAAATAAATAAATAAAATATACAAATATTTCAATACTCTAACGAAAATGTATGAAAAGTTTTTTATAGGTTTAATCGTTGAAGTATTAACTTATCTATTGGATTGATCCTAATGCTAAGGATAATCTCGAAACTTCGTAGAAGCAAAGTATAGCATCGATAAAGTTGATTTAATCGAGCAATCGATTTTGGCCTATTGCCTGTGGTCTCTCGAGATCGGACTTAAGAAGATTTTCCGCAAATCCTTCTTGAACGAATGAATATTACTCGAATAGATAAACTCTTGTAATATACATAAGTCCGATAAACTTGATTATCCTTTAATTATTTTTTTTTTTTTACGGTTCATCTTTATCCGGTTTACAAGATTACGAAACATTTTATTTCGAACATCCTGTTTTATTGTCATGACAATATCATAAATTATTTTCTCGTAAAAAGAAAATAAACATTCCGAAAAGAATAGAGAGAGAGAGAGAGAGAGAGAGAGAGAAAGAAAATAAAGAAAGAAAGTAAGAAAGTAAGAAAAGTAACACCGTGTAAGAATAAACTTAGATCGTGTGACTAAAGTATCCGAGGTGGAAGAAAGAAGTTGGTATGGGAAGAACAAACGGTAGAAGAAGTTATTGAGCAAAGTTAAAAGCAAACAGTTCGGTAACGCAATGTGTGAATTCAACTAGGAATGGTGTGACAACTTCTAACGTTTCGGTCAATATTCAAATAACTTCGAGTCAAATGATCGTTTACTAATCCGAGAGAAGCTATGAGAGAAATAATATTCTTGCATGTTCATTCACCGTGTTACCTTTGTATAGAAATAAAAGAAAATAAAAAAAACCCAGAAGAAGGAATGTTGAAACTTTCTAATGGTCGGATTAGAAATAGATACGCGCGTAATATATATATTTACTCATAATATTATTTTTATAAATAGATTAAAATAATTCAGTGTCAATTACCTCGATAAGTTCATTCTTGTCTTATTTTTGGCAAAGCTCAGTAACGCCTACGTCTCACGGAACAGCCAGTTTTTGCTCTTAGAAGATGGTGAGTGTGCGTGTCGTTCCAGAGAGGAGACGGTGATAAAAATAACGTCTTTCGTTTTTCGTCTGGCACACGAAATAACATCCTCTCGACGTTTGCCAATCATTGTCTACACACGAGTACTAACCGTAAAAAGATTTCCTTTATATCGCGAAGATAATGCTAAAAGTATATTTCTAGATTATACATTTATTTTTCTCTTTTATCTTTTTTCTTTCTTTTTTTTTATAAATAAATTCAAAATGCGATTTCATTAAAAACGAAAGGACAAAAATCTCAACTATTTTATTATACGATAATAACGTCGGTGCGAGATGTAATGAAAGAAAGTATAAA